AGACCAAAAGAGGGAAAAGGTAATATAATTATTGTTAAACTAGCTTTCCGCCCGCGGCTTCGCGCGCATGGACTACATTATCTACATATTTTACGGAACCCTATTTTTTTTCCAAAATAAAATTTAGCCTATGTTACTAGTGGATAATGCTTTCGAATGGTGAAAGAATTTCTAAAAACGGTCCAGTAGTTTTTGAGCCCATTCATTACTTCACTTTTTGGCTACTTTTTGACCATAACACTGCTGACTGTACGTATATTTATTTTATTCTTTTCAACGAAATCCTGGCATTAAAGGTACTTTTTCTGTTTTTTTTTTATGTAGTTAGAAGTTTGGTCTGAAGGACTGTCACCTTGTCTAAAGCCCGGTCGCCGAGCACGTAGAATTTCGTCCAATGACCCCTAGCTACCCTTTCCTTATCGCTCGCGCGTAATTATGTTTCTGTCGCGCTCGCACACTCACTGCGGGCGCCCGTCGCACAGTCGCGACAGCAATATAATTATACGCGAGCGATAAAGATGGGTAGTTTGGAGTCATTGGACGAAATTCTACGTGCTTGGCGACCGGACTATATAGACCCTCTGTTTAAACAATGGCACTGTGCTCTTTTTTATAACTTTCTATTTTTCTAGGTGGACAGAAAACTAAGAGAAGACACGACGATGGGCGTGCATGTCGCTGTGTACAGGTAAATAATATAATACTTAAAATTACTAGTGGACATCCACCCATAAGGTGGACCGACGACCTCATAAAGGTAGCAGGAAGGCGCTGGATGCAGGCCGCTACCAACCGGGCGATGTGGAAATCATTGGGGGACGCCTATGTTCAGCAGTGGACGTCCTGTGGCTGAAATGATGATGAAGAAATTAAATAAAAGCTTGTTTTTGTTATGAGTTACTTTAAGGAATGATCGGTTTTATTCTCCCATTTTCAGGGTAAAAGACCTGTTCGAGTGCGCCTCAGCCAAGTTCAAGGTAGAAGTGAACGCACAGCAACTGCATATGACGGGATGCGTGATACTGCACCGCGGCTGCTGCGTGATTGTGGTGGAGGGAGGGCCTAAACAGCAGGCCAAGTACAAGAGGTAGGCCAAGTATACAATAGGTGACTAATTACACACGAGGTGGCCAAGTATGCAATAGGTGGTCAAGTATGGGGGGAGAGTGCCAAGTATAGGGGAGTAGGCCAAGTACACAAGAGGTGGCCAAGTAGACGTTAGGTAGGCCAAGTACACAAGAGGCAGGCCAAGTACTTAATAGGTGGCCAAGTACAAGAAGTAGGCCAAGACAAGTACACGAGAGGTAGGCCAAGTAAAAGGGGATGTAGGCCAAGTATACAATAGGTGGCCAAGTAGACGATAGGTAGGCCAAGTACACAAGAGGCAGGCCAAGTATACACAGTGGGAGAGGCCAAGTATACACAGTGGGAGAGGCCAAGTACACAAGTGGTAGAAGTTAATAGAATAGAATAGAAAGTATTTATTTGGCAATAGGTGGCCAAGTACACACGAGGGGGTGTAGGCCAAGTACAATAAATAAGAGGCCTAGTACTAAGGAGGGATAGACCAAGTACTAAGAGGGGATTGGCCAAGTACAAGAGGTTAGGAGTAAGCCAAGTATAAGGGAAGTAGGTCAAGTATGTAACATAGGGNATTAAATAGAAGCTTGTTTTTATTATGAGTTACTTTAAGGAATGATCGGTTTTATTCTCCCATTTTCAGGGTAAAAGACCTGTTCGAGTGCGCCTCAGCCAAGTTCAAAGTGGAAGTGAACGCACAGCAACTGCATATGACGGGATGCGTGATACTGCACCGCGGCTGCTGCGTGATTGTGGTGGAGGGAGGGCCTAAACAGCAGGCCAAGTATAAGAGGTAGGCCAAGTATATAATAGGGTTGTAGGCCAAGTAACAGGTGGGGGAGTAGGCAAAGTACACAATAGGTGGACAAGTAGACGTTAGGTAGGCCAAGTACACAAAAGGTGGCCAAGTAGACGTTAGGTAGGCCAAGTACACAAAAGGTGGCCAAGTAGACGTTAGGTAGGCCAAGTACACATTGATAGCCAAGTAGACGATAGGTAGGCCAAGTACAAGGGGCGAGGAGTAGGCCAAGTATACAATAGGTAGGCTAAGTCAGGAGGTGGTCAAGTATAGAGGGAGTGGGCCAAGTACAAGATGTAGGCCAAGACAAGTACACGAGAGGTAGGCCAAGTAACAGGTGGGGGGAGTAGGCCAAGTATACAATAGGTGGCCAAGTACACGAGAGGTAGGCCAAGTATACCCAGTGGGGATTGGCCAAGTACAAGAGGTGAGGAGTAGGCCAAGTTCAAGTTTAGAGGGTGCAATAATCCAAATGTAGTCCATTGGATTTGTCTCATAATTGGGGAATGTAGTATGTATCATGAGTAGAGTCAATGTTAATGATACACCCTGTAAAATATCACTGCAGTGGGGTCTTCCCAAGGGTCAGGCCAAGTACTAAAGGGGGAAAGGCCAAGTAAAAGAGGGGGTAGTGATCTAAGTGCGAAGGGAAAGAGCCCTAGTGTGCTATGCCAAGTTTAGAGGTTGGGTAGTAGTAATGCAAGTGAGAATAGAAAAGAGTAAATAACAATAAAAGGGATGATGACTGGGTAATGAAATCGAAATTCTATTTAGTCCGTCAGACAGATAATAAAAAATTGTACACGTATTTTTAATTGTTTTTCACAATCGAATTACAGTATTATATTGAGTTGAAATGTCTCGTGACGTCACTTTTGAATAAAAAATCTACTCAAGCGTGACGTAACGCGTCATTTCAACTCGATGTAGCACTGTTATTATTTAATTATGAAAGAAAATAAAAAATATGAGTAATATTTTCTAATTATCTGTCTGACGGACAAATAATTGAAATTTTTTCATTTATAGTCTGGTCCGTGAGCACGTAGAATTATGTTCAATGACCCCTAGCTACCCATCCTTATTGCTCGCGCGTAATTATATTGCTGTCGCGCTCGCACACTCACTGCGGGCGCCCGTCGCACAGTCGCGACAGCAATATAATTACGCGCGAGCGATAAGGATGGGTAGCTTGGGGTCATTGGACAAAATTCTACGTGCTCACGGACCGGGCTTTAGCCTATTATACTTACCTGTTATTTATTTCCTTCAGACTGATGCTGCACCGCATCAAATGGGAAGACGACCTGGTGAAGGATGCAGAAGGCAACGAAGTACCGAACTCCTGCCAGCTGGTATGGGAGGGCGTCACCAAGCAGCGAAGCTTCGGAGAGATCAAGTTCAAGGTAAATACAGCCTTGTTGTTTGAAGAATAGAGTGGAGTTTGCATTGCACAAGTTACTGGCAGTCCTAGGAGCACGACGAAGTCTAGGCAGATCAAGGTAGAAGGTAATTGATGCAGCAGAATCTTGGGATTGGAACTCTTGTTTAGACAGAATCTAGGAAAGTAAGGTACAAAAAGATGTGAGGAAAAGGCCAATTAAGATGTGGGGAGGAAGCCAAATACTCAAGAGGTAGGGAATGGGTCAAGTCAGAGGTAAGGAGTAAGGTCAAGTAAGAGGTAGAGAGTGTACAAAGTCAGAGCTTAAGTGTGGCCCAAGTAAGAGCTCGAGTGGGCCAAGTTAAAGTCGTGGGAATAGACCAAATACAAACAGCCCTTCAACCTAAACACTAATCTTAAGTACTTTCAATAGGAGCTAAGTAAGTCCACCCACAAGGTGGACCGATGACATAAAGGTAGCAGGAAGGCGCTGGACGCAGGCCGCTACCAACCGGGCAACATGGCAAGCATTGGGGGAGGCCTATGTTCAGCAGTGGACGACCTATGGCCAGTAGCGTAGCTAGATAACCAAGGGCCCTGGGGCAAATAAAAAAATGGGCTCCACTGCTACAACCCACAGAAATAATTTAGGACAATTCCCTAGTTATAACTTTCGAATTTCTCTATTTATTTTGAAAATGGGAGAAGTTTTCAAAGTTCAGTTCAATTGAGATTTTTTGGTAAAGATTCGAAAGGCACTGCTCCGCCTAGCCCCTTAGTAGCTACGCAGGGGCCTGAGGCTGAGATGATGATGATGAAGTTTTACGTTCTTTCCAGGTGTTGCCGACTGAGAAACAAGCTCGAGAGGCTTTGCAACAACACGGAGCGGAACATTACTGGGACTTGGCTTACAGTGGCGCGGTGTTAGCTGCGCCTTCATCGCCTTAACACGGAATTATAATAAACATTTGGAATAACGATACACGGAGTTATGATAAGAAAATAAAATCAGTGATACTGGAATAGGCGTTTTATTTAACCTTAATTAAAATGAAATAAATTTAAGCTAAAGCCTGGTCCGTGAGCATGTAGAATCCCGTCCAATGACCCCAAGCTACCCATCCCTTTCGCTCGCGCGTAATTATGTTGCTGTCACGCTCGCACACTCACTGCGGGCGCCCGTTGCACGACTGTATGCGACTATATGCGATAGTATGCGATGTACAAAATTCTACGTGCTCACAGACCGGGGTTTACAAAGTTCAACTCTGGTATAGATCGTTTCATTCACGAAGACGCGCCCCAGTAATGTTTGGTCTCGGTCGCGCGGGGTGCGGGGAGTGTGGTCCGAGCAATCCGTAAGGCATTACTGTAGTGTGCGTGTGCACTCATGGAGCATTTAGCGTGTACCGATAACACTCAAACATTAGCGGAAGAATGGTGGGGCGCGTCTTCGTGGATGAAACGATCTATGAGTATATTTCTGAATTTTAAGATTATTGCAATTATTTGTTTAGATAGTATCTATACATTAGTAGAGATAAATACTACTAAAAGTCTGGAACTATTAAACAAATAAAATAAAATGTAGAATTCTTCTTGTTTCATAAATCTATATCTTATATATATAAAAGAAAGTCGTGTTAGTTACTTCGCTTATAACTCAAGAAGGGCTGAACCGATTTAGCTGAAAATTGTCAGGGAGGTAGTTTAGAGCCAGGAGAAGGACATAGGATACTTTTTATCCCGTTCGAAATTAAAAAAAAGTCTGCTTATTTATTGCCATTAAGGCGGAACAAAGTTCGCCGGGACAGCTAGTATAGTATATTACGATGTTCCGCCGCTTTGCTGGTCCGTGCTCCTGAAAATAAAACGATATTTTAATGCAAAAAACAATAATTTATGTAATCGACTAGTGAAAACGGTTCTTTGAATACGAAAATACAATGTTTATAGTCTGGTCGCCGAGCACGTAGAATTTCGTCCAATGACCCCAAGCTACCCATCCTTATCACTCGCGCGTAATTATATTGCTGTCGCGACTGTGCGACGGGCGCCCGCAGTGAGTGTGCGAGCGCGACAGCAATATAATTACGCGCGAGCGATAAGGATGGGTAGATTGGGGTCATTGGACGAAATTCTATCTGCTCGCCGACCGGACTTTACTATGGTATACACAGGAATGGAACTCACAGCCTTCGAGCCTTGTGCTGCCGGATGCGCGGGTGTTGCTCTCTAGGAATGCCGTGGACCTTCACGATGTGGTTCTTCGTCGAACTGACGCTTTTGAACCTGAAATAAATAAATAACATTTATCTAAACATATAAAAGGAGAAACTGACTGACTGACAGACTAACGCACAGCCTAAACGGCTAAACGTAGGCACTTAAAATTTGGAAGGGACATAGCTTAGGTACCGTAGAGGTGCACTAAGAAAGGAATTCCCGAAATTCCCACGGGAACGGGAATTAGCGGGAAAAACGCGTACGAAGTCGCTAGTCGCTAGTGACTGTATAAGAACTTAGCCTATACACAGACGTACAAGTTTAGTTCAATTAAATTAAGGTTAGTGTGCAGAAGTAATTAAAATGATACCAAAACTAAGCAAAATTTATTGCCTGTATCTTAGGTATTTATTTAAAAGTAAATACATAAATACTGAAACAGTCAAAATGGGGTAATGTCGTAAGTATCTAAGTAACTGGAAAAAGTATAACATTTAATATGAATTTAAAAACTAAACTACTGAATCAATAAGCGCTATTGACATCCTGGTGAGTGCAAATTGGTGATTCTAACTGATTCACGTTACATGGTGACTCTAACTGATTCACGATACAAAGGTGATTCTAACTGATTAACGTTACAAAGTTGATTCTAACTGATTCACGTTACATGTTGATTCTAACTGATTCACGTTACAAAGTTGATTCTAACTGATTCACGTTACAATATGTTGATTCTAACTGATTCACGTTACAAAGGTGATTCTAACTGATTCACGTTACAGATATAAACAGAAGCCAACTTTTAGACACAAGGAAATGGAAATCCATGCCTTCCTACTAAAGGCTGAGTAAATTTAAATTTTCTTATATAACACAAAGGTGACTGACTGACTGAAGGATCTATCAACGCACAGCCCAAAGCACTGGACGGATCGGGCTGAAATTTGGCATGCAGTTTGATGTTATGACGTAGGCATCCGCTTAGAAAGGATTTTACGAAACCACCCCTAAGGGGGTAAAATGGGATCCACGCGTACGAAGTCGCGGGCGGCCGCTAGTAAATAAAATAAAACTCACTTGCTCGGGCACAGGTAGCAGTAGTAGGTGTAGCTCATGAGGTGCACTTTGTTCCTGTGGCTGGCCAGCTCCGAGCGGCTTTTGAACAGCGCGGCGCAGCGGTCGCACTGGGAACGAGAAATATACATACAATAGGCTAGTTTCCTAAAAAAAATTTTTTTAGTCCGTCATGAAAAATATAGGACACATATTTTTATTTGTCAATCTAACAAATAATTACATAGTTATGGTGCGTTGAAGTTCCGCGCGACGTCACAAAGTGCGGCACTTTTATGCACTCATTGACGTCACGGGCCTCTTCTTATGAACTTTGACGCGCTTTATCTCTTTAAATTTTCATTAGTTTGAAAAAGTGAAAAATACGTGTAGAGTATTTTTTGATAAGTTAACTGACGGACTAATTAAAACTCTTGCTTTTTGACCCAGGAAACATCCCTATTTAAGCCTGTTTTGAAAAGAAAAAGTATCGAAAGCGGTTCAATCGATTGGGAGTTACGATGTCACAGATAGACGACTCACATAATATTATACAAGTCAATGAACATTTAATTATCAATGGAAATATAAAAAAAACTCAATACGGAAACCGGACTAAGTATCCCTACTTAATATTATTTTTCTTACATATCTTCTACTTAATATAAAACTAGAGAGGTTACATAACAATTAAATAAGTCTTCTTAAACAATAAGCTTTTTTTTAATGTTCCCTTTTATTATTTTTTTTATTTTCATTTAAAATTTTAGTTAAGTTTGTGTTTGTTGTCCAAAAAATATATGTCTATAAATGTTAACATAAGTTTTCTTTTAGGGAAAGGCGAGATTTGAAATTATTTGTAAATGGCCCAAATTATGGACCTTATATTACTCATGTAAAAACTACGGAAAATCTTATTTTACAGTTAATTGAAAAATTTAATCTTACCTGCACATTCCGAACGCCGAAATGCGTCCTCATGTGTTGTTTTAGCCGTTCTCTCTCGAGGAAGGCTTTGGAGCATTCGTTACACACGAACGGCAGCTCTCCTGTGTGAACGGAGCGCATATGAAGCTGTGGATAAAAAAATAGTTTAAAAAACTAAAAACACGCTTTTAATTACTATCAGAGGCAGTTTGGGGACTACCGGAGGCAGGCGGGAACTATGAAAGGCAGTTTGGGGACTACCGGAGGCAGGCGGGAACTACCGGACGCAGTAAAGAACTGTCGGAGGTACTTGGGGACTATCAGAGGCTGTCGGAGACTTCCAGAGGCAGTCGGGGATTTCCAGAGGCAGTCTGGGACTACCGGAGACAATTGGGGACCATCTGAGGTAGTTAGAGACTATCGGAGGTATTCGAGGACTGTCGGAGGTAAATAGGGACCATCTGTGATAGTTGGGGACTGAAGGACCAAAACCTCTAAAAGATTTTCAGTCTCGTCATAGGACTTATTAGTTATTCTTATATTATCGTATGTTACCTGCAAACGCCTATTGTCCACAGCGCGGAAGGGACACTCGGGACAAACTTTCCGTCTTTCGGCGCCATGCATGCGTTGCTGGTGGTACTTCAGGACGCTTCCAGTGAAGAACTTCTTGTCGCATTGCTGGAACAATTCACTGGTCATTAGGGCAGACCAATTTCAAGTAATTCCTGAACTTAAAACTAACATATGAAAAACATTTAGCTTAGGCGCAGACCACAGTCTTTTAGTTGGCCGATAGTTGGGCCCGATTCTAATTTGTATGAAGAATTGGCCGATACCAAATCGGTGTAATGTGCGCACTTTCATACATGTCTATACTGATTAACAAAAAGTCTGGTCTGTGGCTAGGCTTAGCTATTAGACCTTCCGAACCGAATCGAATTCGATTGGTATTCGATCAATACAATACAAACATACATAATAGTTGTGGACAAATTGGTCGAAATATGACAATGATTGTTGAAGTCGTAAAAAACCTTTTTTTTTTATAAATAAAATATTATTTTGCTCAGAAACATGGTATTTAGCAAAGAATATTAGCAATGTGTAAATACAGATTACTAATAAACTAAATATGCTTGTGTTAAGAGTGGGTTGACCACAATAGTCGAGCGACGGCGGGGATCGAACCCGCGTCCCTCGGATCACGAGTCGGCTAGTCTGACCCCATCATCACTTGGCTATCGTGGTTATAGTTTTGTAAATAACATTCTGTCCAATATACTTTTGTATGTAAATGAAATTTTAAAGCCTAAATTAGTCTTCATACTCACATCACAAGGGTACTCCGGTTCGAAGTGAGTCCTCGCATGGTTGACGAAGAACTTCTTATACTTGATCACCGTCCCACACAGGTTACATTCCACTGGCCCCTCGTTTGGTATCGGCTGGACTGCTAACGCCATGTATTTCTCTATTACTTCCTGTAAAAGTATTTATTTATTTCTCGTCCTTTTGTCTGTGCAGGTTTGACGTAAATTCCCATTCGCATTTCGTCACAAATTAAAAAACGGTGCCCATGGCAAATGGGACGGAATACTAATGGACTGAATGGGAATGGGAACAAACCCGAATGGGACCGAATGCGAATGGGTACAAACCCGAATGGAACCGAATGCGAACGGGTACAAACCCGAATGGGACCGAATGCGAACGGGTACAAACCCGAATGGGACCGAATGCGAACGGGTACAAACCCGAATGGGACAGAATGCGAACGGGTACAAATCTGAATGGGACCGAATGCAAATGGGAACAAACCCGAATGGGACCATTATTTCGTAACGAAATGCGAATTGGACGTTCTGCGTCAAACCCGTCTATGCAATAGCAATTTATGTTTCTACAGTTTTTTTACTTTAAAGCTAAGAAATACAAATTATATCAAATACTTTATTCAGTTAGGCCCTTTCCAGGGCACATACACGTCCCGGGCAGGCCTCCCACTAGGTGGACCGACGATCTGGTGAAGGTCGCGGGAGGTGCCTGGATGCGAGCGGCGCAGGATCGATCTTCGTGGAAGTCCTTGGTGGACGTCTTTCGTCTGAAACGAACGAACGAACATGTCCCGAATATAGCTTGCCCTACCACCACTTTAGGACCACACACGGGCTGATGCTGAGAAGAAGTGGCGGAAGAAACTCAGTCACCTTTGTCAGCTATAAATAAAACATACCTTTGGTCTCCTAGGCCTCGGCCTAACTTCAGTATCCTTTGATTCGCTTAATACATTGCAATTTGCATCATCAGAAGATTCATAGTACGTTAATTCTGACTCAGTTATATCTACGGATGTAGGTATGTAATCATTGTTCACTTCTTCGTTTAGCTTCTGAACCAGCTTCGTATTTTGTGGTATATCGCTAAGTTTTAGCCGTTTTCGCTTTGACGTTCGTGATTTAATTTTTTTTGAGAGTGACAATTCTTTAGTATTCTCATTTTTAATGTTACTTTTGATATCGTGATTCCAACTAAGCACATCGAACGACTGATTTGTTTTTGAATCTTCAAATAATTTAGATTTCTTCCGTGTAGATTTTGATGTAAATTGATCATGCTCTTCTTCTAATTGAATGTCTGAATCTGAGATACTTTCACCGACTAGTTTCCTCAGTTCTGCGTCTGTTTTCTGACTTTTATTCCGTAATTTTAGAGATTGATTCACCAAAATTGTGCAGAACTTACATATTTTTTGGGTAAGACCATCGTCTGGAAGAATCTGAAAGAAAAAAGAAATAACAAATATAATGCTGTTACCTGTTTCATGTAAGTAATAAATGATATTTCTAGCACAAAAATTACTACAGTAATTTAATGTCATAAGTGCCACTTGTGGTCTAAACTGAATAAATATTTTTTATTTTGATTTTTTTTATTTTGTTATTGAAGTTAATTATACAATAAATATTTGATATTTTGCAAGGACTAATTCAATAATTATTCTATATCCTGCACATTTATGTACAATTTAATGCTGTTGAAACATTGTTAAACAAATAAAATAAATAAATAAATATCTTCTTCTTTGCCTGGCCCATTCCCATTTTATTTGGGGTCAGCCTCCATATAATGCGTCTCCAGGCGGCTCGGTCCTGGGTCGTCTCACTGTTGACTTGGGGCTTTTTATTTATTTATTTAAACTTAGGTAGATGCCAAAATTTTATCATTATGCGAACTTAATGCCATAAGGCATTATGGTCCTTATTCACTAAAAAATAAAGATCATTTTGAATTGAATAATAGAAAAGTTAGTACCTTTACTCCAGTTGCTAAATACAGTAAGTTGGACCGAAGTTCTGAAGGTTCTTCGACAAATATCCACCTCAAGTCCTTAGATGATAAGCAGAGGCGACAGCAAGTCGATAATATGTCGGACATCGCTAAAGTGCGAATCGGAAATAATAATAACTACTAACATACAACACCACACAGCACGTAACAATGTGCACATTAACATACAAGCAAACAACAACACCAACATTAATTTATTTATTTTAGTTAAATCCAGAGCAGAGAAAAGCAATGAGAAAAGTAAATAAAGGAAAAAATGTATTTACGAAGCTCGTTCTTGTAAATAAACATTGACATTTCATAATTTTCATTTATAAAATCTTTAAATAAATAAAATATTCTTTGGAATTATAGCTACTTGATAATTAACAATATTATGTTTCTTGAACTTTTATAAAAATAGAAACAAGTACCCGATTTTCCACATTAAATTAAAAACAAATAAGCCTTCCACTGTCTTCGAGAACTGAATGAAATATATTTTTGACAGTTTATTGTTGCCAGTAAATACTTTTAATTACCACTTTGAATCATAATTTTTCACACTTAATTTTTCTGCCCCTATAAACAAGTGGCAAAATGTGACAGATGTAATGTCGAAAGATGGTCGAAAGGCCTTTTTTTGTATGGAGTTTCAACGGATTTGACTTTTGATTCGATCAAAAAGTCCCATTTGTCTATCTTCCACTGACTGAACCCCTCGCGATTTACTTTCCTCAGATAAGTTTGTTGCCGTTTTTGCTTGCTCCTATAAATAGTGCCATTCGTTTCCATGTTATTTATATAACTAATAAGCCTACAACTAGACCTATTTTTATCGACACACATCAAAACATTTTTGAGATTTTTTTTAATTTTTTATACAATTTTTTTTCTTCCAATTACTTATTGTAAAGAAAACGTAATAACTTTTAAACTAAGCGGTATATCCTGATAAAATAAAAACAGTAATAATGCTAAATAACAGGCGATACTAAAAAAATACGTAAAAGACACAAAAAATGCCAACAAATAATAAAAAATGATACTTTTTGAAAAAATACCTGTAGCGGAGAATAATTTTGTGGCAAGCCTTTGTTCAAACGATCATAGCAAATGTTGTGATAGGGATAGAGACATGCAATTTTTGGTTTTACAAAGATAATACGATAGAAAATAATAAAATGTAATAAAAACCACCAGTTATATAGGGGCATTTTTTTGAGAAAATTATCAAATAACCAAAAAAATACGAATTTATAAGCAGTTTTTTTTTCAAAAAGTATCATTTTTTATTATTTGTTGGCATGTTTTGTGTATTTTATGTATTTTTTTCTATTGCCTGTTATTTAGCATTATTACTGTTTTTATTTTATCAGGATATACCGCTTAGTTTAAAAGTTATTACGTTTTCTTTACAATAAGTAATTGGAAGAAAAAAAATTATATAAAAAATTTATAAAAAATCACAAAAAAAATTGTCCTCTTTTTTGTCGATAAAAATAGGTCTAGTTTCATCTATTTTCATATGTACACTTTAACGTGACTCACACTGTATATATATGATTTGAAGATAGAATTCGATTGTTTATTTTAAGCATAAAATCAGTCACTAGAAGCGTTCATGCTTGCAAGTTTCAATGGGTCACTTCTACTTCTACATAATTTTATTTAACATTCATAATGCATTTATGCAGATGGAATTTGCCAAGTAAACGTTGCGTAATAATTACCAACGTTTTGCGAGATTGCTAACTTTGCAACACCGCTAGTGATGGGACATTTACTACAGTACTGTGGGAAATCAATAAATATCCTTGGACATTTTTTTACACTGCGCTTCTAGTCCCAAACAAACTAAGCAAAGCTTGTATTAAGGATACTAGACCACGGATTTATTTAAACATACTTATATATACATAGAAAACACCCAATGGTCACAATTTATTATTTAAAGAAAGAACATAATTATAATAATTATTATAATAAAAGTTCATGTATGAAATAGTAATTACTTAATCAACTGAATTTTATTATAACTTTTTAACAATAAGGCATAGACAGAGCGCACAGCGCACAATCGATAAAGGAGAGCAGTCTCTCTATGTAATTAAATTATAACTGACATACATACTCCTCTTCAGGCATGCAGGCACTAGGCTGGAGTAACAATCTTTAATATTCAGTTCGTCTTTCATAGAAAACTGTCCCAAATATTTATTCCCATACTTCATCAGCCCATTCCCATTATCAGTGCTGTCATACACACATCACTACAGTTTCAAATGTCATTGACTTCTCGTTCTCATCTTGCATTGCGATTGGTTGAATACAGCTAAATTAATAAATTACCATCAGATGCATTCCGTTATTGAGGCTACGCGGTCGCCGGATTCCGCCAATCGGTTTTAGGAAACGTCTGCTTAGTTTTTAGAAGTCTTAAGTGAAAATGGTGATACAGAAAATCTGTTGTTTAGGTGCGGGTTACGTCGGTGGGCCTACGTGCAGTGTTATAGCTCTAAAGTGCCCGAATATTACTGTTACTGTGTGCGACAAGAGCGCAGAGCGAATAGGGCAGTGGAATTCTGAGAAATTGCCAATTTACGAGCCAGGGTTGGACGAGGTAGTGCAGAAATGTCGAGGTAAGAACCTATTCTTTTCGACTGACATCGCGAAAGGGATACAGGAGGCCGATTTGATCTTTATATCGGTTAACACACCGACGAAAACGTTCGGAAATGGCAAAGGGAGGGCTGCAGATTTGAAATACATAGAAGGGGCGGCCCGTATGATAGCTGATCTGGCTACAAGCAACAAAATTGTGGTCGAAAAGAGCACCGTGCCAGTGAAAGCTGCCGAAATCATCATGAAGATCCTTCGTGCGAATACCAAACCTGGTGTACAGTATCAGATACTGTCTAACCCTGAGTTTTTGGCCGAAGGAACGGCTATTGTCGACTTGGTTGAAGCAGAAAGGGTGTTAATCGGTGGGGAAGACACTCCGGAAGGTCAGAAAGCTATTCAAGAGCTGTGCTGGGTGTACGAGCACTGGATCCCAGCTAAGAATATACTAACAACCAATACGTGGAGTTCGGAACTGTCTAAGCTAGCAGCAAATGCATTTTTAGCACAAAGAATATCGAGCATCAATTCGTTGTCCGCTGTCTGTGAGGCTACTGGGGCAGACGTGTCTGAAGTAGCACGAGCAGTTGGTCGGGATTCTCGTATCGGACCGAAGTTCCTCGAAGCATCGATTGGTTTCGGTGGCAGTTGCTTCCAAAAAGACATCTTAAACCTGATTTATCTTTGTGAATGTTTAAACCTGCCAGAAGTAGCAGCATACTGGCAGCAAGTGATCGATTTAAATGATTACCAGAAAACACGGTTCACACGTAAAGTCATAGAATCCTTATTCAACACAGTAACGGACAAAAACATAGCCATACTAGGATTCTCATTCAAAAAGAATACCGGTGACACTAGAGAATCACCAGCTATCTACGTATCAAAAACTTTACTCGATGAAGGAGCAAAACTACACATTTACGACCCAAAAGTAGAAATTGAGCAGATTTACTACGATCTCACACATCCATCAGTGACGTCAGAGCCAGAGATGGTTAGAAAAAACATAGAAATCCACGATTCAGCTTACTCAGCAGTCACNGCAGTCACTGGTGCTCACGCTATAGTACTATGTACGGAATGGGACGAATTTAAAGAGTTAGACTTCAAAAAGATCTACGATGTGATGATGAAGCCAGCGTACATATTCGATGGGAGGAAGATACTGGATCATGAAGCGTTGTTGAACATCGGTTTCCACGTCCAGACAATTGGCAAGCGGTTGTCCAGGACTGGAAGCATCAGAGCTCAAGGGAGTCAGACGTTGCCATAGTATAAACTTAGGTAAGTCATTTTTTTGTATTTTTTGTTAACATAAAGAGGCGACCACAAGCCGGAAGACATAGTGTAGGCAGACCCCACTAGGTGGACCGACGATCTGGTGAAGGTCGCGGGAGGTGCCTGGATGCGGGCGGCGCAGGACTGGTCTTTGTGGAAATCCTTGGGGGAGGCCTTTGTCCAGTACTAGACGATATATTCATTTCTGTCACAGAAAATCTTTATCGCGCGCGTCCCTGTTTCAAAAACCGGGATAAAAACTATCCTATGTCCTTTCCCGGGACTCAAACTCCGTGATAACTTTTATACCCGACTGCGCCAGAAGAAGGGTTATGCTTTTTATTCCGTGTAAGAATGTTAGGCAGTTAGTAAAACCCAAATTGGAATTCGTAAATCTCCACTTTTGACCTTGATCTGTAGCTGATAAAATACCTATAATGATAATAAAACTAAACACAGCTCTGTAGTCATTTGACGAAAAATAAATTACACTGAAATACACTTGAATATGTAATGTTGCGGCTTCCTGGATAATTAGCTACATAATTAAACGCTAAAATCCAATTTGTAATTTAAAGACGAAGCACACTTAGCAACCCGGAAACGGATCGTAACCGTATCAACTCGAGGTGGTCAGTATTCTTTGATGAAACTCCATACTGCAACGCACACTTATCCGCACCGTAAACGCCTCGCTTCGCTGTTGACAACGCGCGAAAGGTGATGACAGCTCGCGAAAGTTGATACGGTGCTGATCCCTTTCCGAGGAGTTGATATCGCCCGTTTTCACCATCAATTTTCTTTTCATAGGGGTCACTTGAAAATTAGAGATTGATGGGGAAAAAGAGCAGAAGTCTGCTAAGGGTGGATTCGACCAAACAAGAGTAAATATTAATCTCAGAATAAATTGTCAGTTTTGATATATTTCCCACTAGCTTTCCGCCCGCGGCTTCGCCAGCATGGAATTTTGTCTGTCACAGAAAACTTTATCGCGCGCGTCCCTGTTTCAAAAACCGGGATAAAAACTATCCTATGTCCTTTCCCGGGGCTCAAACTATCTCTATGCCAAATATCATGAAAATCACTTTAGTGGTTTAGGCGTGAAAGCGAGACAGACAGAGTTACTTTCGCATTTATAATATTATATAGTACTAGCTTTCCGCCCGCGGCTTCGCCCGCGTGGAATTTTGTCTGTCACAGAAAAAATTTATCGCGCGCGTCCCTGTTTCAAAAACCGGGATAAAAACTATCCTATGTTCTTTCCCGGGACTCAAACTATCTCTGTGCCAAATTTCATCAAAATCGGTTGCGACGTTTAAGCGGGAAAGCGTAACAGACAGACAGACAGACAGACAGACAGA